GATAAATAAATTAGTTTACCAACATATGCCCAATTTATGGTTGATATTAAACATTTAGTTTTTTGGAGTGAGTCTTAGGGTTAGCAATGGGTCAGGTTTGTCTCATCATTTGACTTCAATCATGGGTAGAAGAATAGCCACATATAAACCCTGTACATTTCGGGAGTTTGACCAGAAGTCCTTTTCTCCAATCTACTTAATGAGCAATTCACCATAGAGAGAGAGGGGAGAATGGAACCTTTCATTCAATATTTAGAGAGAAAAATTTAAAGACAAGCACCTCCAGTAGCGAACCATAGCAACTGTTTAAATCTCTTTAAGGTTTTGGGTTAGAAATGTCCAACACCAGGTTATTTCACCTGGAGCAGGAATTGCAGGTGGAAAGGGAACCGGAAGGACAGGGGAATCCGTGTTGGAGAACGGGGTTTGTCTCCATTTACTGGAAGCCTTAGAAAGATGCAAGTGTCTACAAAGAATTTTGAATTCTGCACAGTGTAATATGGACCAATCTTCAAATGCCACTTTGTCCCTCCTAAAAACTGAGGGGGAAAATGGATGCTTAACAAAAATAACTGGTCTATGAAAATTATTTGGTTAGTAATTAAAGTCATGGTTATCAATGGTATATTAGCTGTAATGGGACTATTATTTTGTCTATTTATCCACCATCATTAGCAAGTAAAAGTGTTTGTCTAGCTTATTGCAGTACCCTCATGGTTAGGACTCACCCCTCTTCTAGTCAGTGCCCTGCTGCATTGCTGGGTTTACAGAGAGAGAGAGACTTTCTAACAGGTTCTATGTGCTGCACTTTGCACGCATCATAGACTGCAGTCTTCCTGCAGAGAAAGTAGTAAAGGATGATTGACATTCACGACGGTTAAATATCTTGACCAAAACCACACAGCTAGGAGAATTAGAACTTGAAACCAAGTCTGCCTTCAGAATCTAATCAAGATCTTTTACAAGTAAACACGGTCTCTTCAGAGCAGGATGAAGAGAAGGAGAGGGATTTTGTGACGTGCCAAACCAAGGGTCAAATCCCAAACGGTGTTGTTTTCAGGCTGTCTGACCAAAGAATGTATTCCCAATCTGGGTTCTTATTTGGTTTATTTTAAAGTATTCCATGTCATAAAAACCCTCAATGAGTAAAAGTTCAGCATTATGTAAAAGATAAATTAGGACATTATTTACTGCATTCATGGTTCTTTGTCTTATTAAAACGGATTTCTTTAACTATCCCCACTGAAGGGTGTCTTTCCATTAAAAATTCAATTAATTTATCTTCTTAGCATTGACTGCTATAGATACTATCTACCATACACCATGGTAACCATGGTACATCATGGTTAAACAGAGGACAAGATCCAGTTTTGAACTTCAATGAACTTGAGTCCAGTGATGATGGAGGAAACTGAGACAAGTGATTAGTAACAAAAGAAAGAACAAAATAAGAAGCATACCAAAAAATCTATGTTGCTCTGGGATTGTAAACAAAACAAAACAAGAAACTCTTCAGCACAATACGACCTGAAGGAGGGTGATGCTAATGGGAGGAGGCACAGGGAGAAGGAGAAGGGAAGTACTGTCTCCCATACACAGACACGCTGTGCATGTCAGGGGCACTCTTGGTGCACATATGAGGTGCTTGCCGTGAAGGGTTAAAGCAGTGGCTGGGAAGGGAGTGGGAGGCTATGTTAAGGCGTTCTTTGACAACCAGGATAACTTGTTTTTATTAAATCGGGAGGGTCATGGACGTTTGTGGACCTGGTAAGTGCCGCGTAAGCTGGCTCTAGGACTGGGGAGCAGCGTTGATAAGATACCATAGACAGGTCTCCTGAAATATTCTCAGCAAGAGATCGATAGCTCTGCCCTGACTAGTGAGATAACAGTGGGAATGGGAAGAGGAAATAGATAGGAAAGACAGTGCTGTAATAAAATCTGTGAGATCGAAATTGGAAGATAAGGAAGAGGGAGAGTGTGAGGGACCAAAGGGACATTTTTGGAGCTACAAGTCAAGAAGAGAAATGAGTGGGTGTGCAGGTAGGCAAGAATCTCACGTGGCCAGTGCTCAGGGACATAGGCATTGTTTAAGAAACAGAAGTTACATCACGCTTCTAGAGTGGGTGATAACTGTATTTTTCTTTTTTCTTCTTCTTGTTCAGTTATAGTTGTCCCAGTTTTTCCCGTTGCTCTTGCCTGCCCCATCCACCCCTTAGTCAACCGCACTCCATGTCTGTGTCTGTGGATCATTCACGCATGTCCTTGACTAGACCCTTCCCCTTCTTTCTCTGTTACCCCTCTTCCCCCTCCCCTCTGGTCACTGTCAATTTGTTCCTTATTTCCATATCTCTGGTTCTATTTTCCTAGTTTGTTTGTTTTCTTCATTACATTCCACGTATAGGTGAGATCATGTAGTATCTTGATTAGCAGAGAATGAATCTGTGTTAACTAAAGTGTAGTGTTAAGCAAAGTTTATTACAAGACCTTTCTTTATGTCCATCAAATAGAGTCAATGACACTTCAAAGGAAGTGATGATAAGGATTAATGGAGCTTCATATTGATATCAATATACTAATGGCTTCAGATCGTATTAAATACCAGCGATAAAAAGCTGTGGTGTGGTAAAACTTATTGCAATACTAAAGATTGCACTTTATCCTTTTAACTTCTGTTGACTAAGATGTAGAGAATATGTTTTTTTCCTTAAAAATAGCTTTTATCTTAATGACAGAAATGCACAGGTATCTAAAATTGAGCAGTTTTCAATGGGCTCCTGGTTGCGTCCCATGAAAATGATTTTTTTTTTAGTAAGGAGAGGTAAAATACTAAATACTCCATCAATATGGTGTCCACAGTTCAGTATATGCTAGGATCTGTGATTTGTACCTATTATTTTATTTAATTTGTAAAACTTTGCACATTTGGTTTTGTGATGATCTTCATTTTACAGAATAGAAAAGTTAGTACTAGAGAAGTTAAGTAACTCGTCTCCAGATCTTGGCTGAAGACAGCTGCCGTGGGAATCATAAGGGCAAACGGATGGGTATACCTCGTGTTTAGGTATGAGAATCCAACAGGCTTGGTGACTGATTGAGTGTGAGGCTGAGTAGATTTAGGGCCAGGAGTTATCGAGGATGGGTCATTTCTGGCTTGTACAGCAGGTACGGAGTTTCTCCTTCCCGTGACAGCGAGCACCTGACGGGCACCTGTGGGAGGCGAGGTGGTGGGTTGGAGGGGGCCATGCTGTTGAACAGGAGTGTGAGATGTGTGAGGGGCGCTTTAATGCACCGCTGGCTATAAGGATTAGGAGGCTTACAGGAGGGATGAACTAGAGGTAAGTCTTACAGAGTCGTCAGTCACAGGGTATTCCTGGAAGACATGGATGCGTGTGTGGTGTTTCCCAGAGAGTCTGTGTGGAGTGGAGAAGAAAGGGCCCTGCATGACACCCAGGGACCTGCTGGCTTCTGGGCGGGGCAGGGAGAGGAGGCCACAGAAAAGAGAGGTGAGGGTGTGTGCACAAGTGCAGATGTGCAGAGCACGCACAGTTTCACTTTGGGTTCAGTGACGTCACTTCTTTGTGAAGTAGCTGTTACTGTACTGTGTCTTGCCTATATCCGCCCTTTGTCATGTATTTAGTGGCACATTTTGCATATTTCCATTGAGAGAAGAAAAGGAAAAGTTTGCCTTGAGCTAGTGCATGGTTTATGATTGACATGGGTATATTTGTCCTTAAATGCATAGCTACGTGTTGACAGGAAGACTGGTGGAAACTTCAAAATGACAACATTTAACTTTTACAGTGTCTTGAGGAAGGGTGGAGACAGGGGAGAGAGTGCCTTTTATAGTTCTTTGTTGCACTTGTACTTTTATCCCAGGGGCCGTTCATAGTTAGGGATGCTGGTAAGTTTGATAGGGTTACACAAATGAAAGCCCTACCAAAATGTAGCCCATATAACCTAAGCGGGACATTTCATGTTACATAAAAATATTTTGGGTAACAGAAGTTTCTGTCATAAAGTGTATGTCATCTATGCAACAAAACTTCCAAAAGGGGACATGTGTGGCCAGGATAAAGTAAGTCATGTTTCCAGGCTTTTCACTGTTACGGAGTTGTATTAGCCAATTTGTTTCTCCCACGTTATAAGTAGATACTCTCACAAGTGTAAATAGTCTATGTATAGTGTCAATAGACTGTGAAAGAATCCAGATGAAAATAACATAATCATTTCCGGAGAGTTTGTTACAATATATTAACTTGGAATAACCTGAAAGTTCCTGGTTTTCTCCCAGGAGAAATATGAGGTAAAATAATATAAGATGGGATATAAGGTGAGTTAAGAATGTTCCAAAAGGTAGTTAGCAATCAGAAATCGTAGTTTCAAATCTAGAGTAGAGTCTCTTAAGTTATTTTTAGATTCAGGAAAAAAATAGTTTTCCTATTTTAATCTAAAGAAGAGAAGACCACAAATCTTTGGAGTACCGTGCAGTGGTGGGCTGTTCTGGAGCCCGTGTTTGGCCCAATCTCCTAGACATACATGTACCTGTACTTTCATTGCACCCTATTTATTACTGTTTATTCTAATCTGTGATTGGTAATTTGATATAAAGTACTTCAAAGCACTTCTAAATAATCTTTCCAAAAGCAGTTCTTTTATATCTCTCCCAAATTTCTATGCAAGCTATAGGGGAAGGTATTTTTACTTTTTCAGCAAATAAAAGAAGTTATCGGTATTTTGAATTTATTTCTATAACACGATATCAAAAAAATTTTAGAATTCTATAATTACAGTAGCTTGCTTTAAGAGAATGTTAACTTTACTTAGATTTAAATTTGTCTCCACTGACAGAATTAGTTACCTTATTTATAAAACCAACATTTGTTTTTTTTACTCATTCGTTTAACCGTAAACCAGTCATAAGCATTTTTATGGTGGGGGGGAGAATGGTCTGGTCATCGTCTGCATCTTAAAATCTGATTTTTAAAATGCATTTCTTGTAGGTTTTATTGGGATCTAATTATGCTTATAATGATGGTTGGAAATCTGGTCATCATACCCGTGGGCATCACCTTCTTCACAGAACAAACGACCACGCCCTGGATTATCTTCAACGTGGCGTCAGACACCGTGTTCCTCTTGGACCTGATCATGAACTTTAGGACGGGGACTGTCAATGAGGACAGCTCTGAAATCATCCTGGACCCTAAAGTGATCAAGATGAATTATTTGAAAAGCTGGTTTGTGGTCGACTTCATCTCATCCATCCCAGTGGATTATATCTTTCTCATCGTAGAAAAAGGGATGGATTCCGAAGTTTACAAGACGGCCAGGGCACTTCGCATTGTGAGGTTTACAAAAATTCTCAGTCTCTTGCGTTTATTACGACTTTCAAGACTGATAAGATACATACATCAGTGGGAAGAGGTAAGACATGGTTTACTTTTTTAATGCCACTCTATCATGATTTTTTAAAGCTATAAATTTAATAATGAACAACTGTGGTATGCATGAGTTCTATGAAATTCAGGGAGAAAATTTTAATTTATTTTTTTGGTGCACAAGTGATATACGCGTATCTTCAAAAAAAAGTACGGTCAAATACTAGATTTGAATTGACTGAAAATTTTAAAAATAGTGATTTTAAAATTGTTGTTTTGCGTCAGTTTAGTGTTTTCTTAACAATCATGGATGATTGCTTTTTATCTGACATGAATACATCAGGTACCGTCTTTCAGAAATCCGTGGAGGGTCGCTAATCTAGTTTGTCTCATTAACTCTATGAGATAGTCTAGCATATGGATACTCTCCTAGTGAATTTTCAGAGAATTTGTGCTTAAAAAACACTTTATGAGTGTTCCCAAGTTGTATATGTAAAGACTGATTTTAGTGTAATAATCCTGCTCTTTGTTATGCTTTTCATATAATTATTTATGGTTGTTTCTCCCTATTAACTCATTTCATAATACTGAAAAACAGCATCCCCGGGAGGCAAATCATTGCACAAAAATCACAGACGCTGTGGTGGGTAAGTGTAGAGAACGTGGCCAATACTTCACTGAGTGAGCGACGGTTGTTTGTAGACAGTCGGTGGGAACGGAAGGGGCTCCCTCAGCCAGCGGGAGTTTCCAAAGTCACCCAGCGGAGGAGTTTACGGTCCTACCTCCAGTCCGCATGCTAACCTTTTCAACCCTCTTTTCCTTCTATGTCCACCTTGCCTTTTTACATGAGCCGTAGCCTGCATTTCACTGTCTCATGCAACGCAGGCTGGAAGGCTTTGCCAGAGCTAAACCTGCAGTGCTGAAAACAGTAGACCTGCCAGGGATTCATTGTCCCCGTACTCATTCCACAAAACTGTTTTTAGGATTTTGAGGATGAGTTATGGTCCGGAATTCAGGTTGAAACGAGTCATAGGATGGAACTTCTGTGAGCATCAGCCTGCTTTCCGCGAGGCTGTGGCACGGTTCTGTGGGCTTGGCGGTGGCGTTTTGGTTCCTGGCGTTTCAGGAAATGACATACAGTCATAAACACTGCGTGAGACGTCGCTGGGAAGGCTTAAAAATGGATCGCTGTTAAAATATGGATGTGGGTGATATTTAAAATCAAATGAAGCACACTTGAGAGGTTGGACTCATCTGGTAATGTGTCTGGATAGCACATGCCACCCAAAGGGTAATAAATGTTGGTTCTCAAACTTTATTGTGCCAATTTGAGATTAATATCAAACTGAGGCTATTATTGATAATAATAACTAATGTATATTGAGGTATTAGTATATGTCAAGTACTATGTTTCATTCCCTTCTTGGATTAGTTCATTAAATCAATCTTCCCAATACCTCTGGTAACTTGCTCAGATTCACCGAGGTATAGGATAGGTGGGGCTGGGATTTGACCCTTGGCAATTAAACTCCGTGGCAACGCTCTTAACCACAGAACCATGACGTGTACTCTTTTCATGAGAAATACCATAATATTCAGTTATTGTATATATTGAATAATAACCGTAGAGAAGTATTTACCACTTAAAACATGGCCGCACAAAAATCTTAACGACTAGCCTGTGAAATGAAAAGTCCCTGATAGAAATAGCCAGTCAACTAAACATGCAGCGGGCAGTGTGACTGTTTTTCAGTGTCTTGTGGCTTTAACCCAATTACACTTGAGGACGGCATCAGGATGAACAGATGGCATCCTATCAGATACAGTGGCAGGCCATGTGCCTGAACAGGAGGACACTCTTTAAAGCTGATGTCCTCTGGTCCTGGCAGCGGTCACGGGCACCCAGATCCGTGTACCACAATGGTGTTTTAAAGATGCTGCGCTATAATTCAGCAGAATCAGCTCACTGCCACCATTACTGCAAAATGCAATTTAATATGCACTTACAGGCATTTGGTAACCAATCCCACTCCGGCCAGAGTTGTGAGTTGGCAAGATCTTTCTTATAAATAAATGACCTTGATAATAAATGAACCATAAGCTCATTTAAGTGAAGAACGTTTTCCTGGTTATATGATACCCTCATATAATATTACATATATCATGGATATTTTATGTCACGGATATTTAGTAACACTGTAAAACAGGGAAGAAACAGTAATAATTAATCCAGAATTTAATAGGAATTCATTATTTCATCACCTACTTGATTCAAACCAAAATCACAAAGGAACTTGAATGGTTGCAAACTGGCAAACCTCTACTCGATTTTTATAAATGCCGCAAGGATGTGTTTACAAGTCAGATACACCAAATAGGCCGGCCGCGGTTGCTCTGCGCACACTCAGATGAAGACTACCCGGGAGGATGTGCGCTAATGTGCCTGCAAGTTCCGAGTGTCTTTGTACCAAGCCAGCTAGTGCTAAATTCAGCCAATTTGGGGAAGTGAGATGTGAAGCCCGGGGGCTGCCACTGTTCCGAGTGAGCCGTTTCCCAGGAAAGCAGCTGCCTGCTATAGGGAACTGCTTTCATCACCAACTGTACATTTTTTTTTTCCTGGTCTGAATTAGTTCAACTGAAAACCAACAAGAAGCACCAAAGCCAGATAAATGGGAGAAATATTGTGAATGAAAGAGAGAAATTTTAAGGCCGAGCCCTTCTGTTACTGTCATTCCTGAAGTCAAATGTTGTGGCTAATACACGAGGGAAGAGTTGGTGTGGCCGACGCATTTATGAAACACATGGTGTTAGGAGTCAGGAGAGACGTTCTTACGGGAGGCAGTTCTGAGATCAATGGCTGTAAGATGCAACAATCCAGCTCACAGTGCTGTGTCCCCAGTGTCAAGTTTCGTAGGCAAACGTGGCACTTGGTGCCCGGGGAGGTGAACCCTGGAGCCGTCCTTCAGACTCGGCAAATGCCTTTTCCCTCATTTCCAGGAAACAGACTGGATCTTCCCCACTGTTGTGGTTTGGTGTTTAACAAGTCCTGTCTTTCGTTCAGCAGTGTATTTATTGTTATGTTTCAAGTCAAATCAGGGACCGCAGCTGGGATGCTATTTCGTAACCTGTTACAATTAGGGGGAACTCATTGCCTGTGATCCTCCAAAAAGAGACATACGGTGAGGAAATCCTCAGAAATTAAGTGGAATATTACTGATAGTCTTTGACCATCACAAGCCACTGAAGAGATAAAGGGAGATTAAGAGCTTAGTAAAAGGGAGATTATTCAGTTAGTAAAGGTGGAGGGTCGGACAAACCTTGAATGCTGCTGATCCTAGTTTTGTTTTTTTTCTTTTAAAGGAAGGGGGCTGATCTTTGAAATTACCACATTTTCCCCTGTATAATGTGCACTTTTTTGGTCCAGATTTTCAAGGGGAAAAATAAGGATGTGCATTGTGCATGGGTAGTGCCCGAAATACTTTGTGTCTGTTCTTGTGGTTTGTAATTATGTATTACATAAAATTTCCTATGCCATAATGTATTCAAAAATTAATGCTGAAATCCCTTTATACAAAAAACAAATATCTAAACATACATACATACATACATACATACATACATAATTGAATTAAAACTTAAAAGGAAAGTATTTTTTTTTTCCTGAAAGTTTAGGCCAAAAATATGGGTGTGCATTATACAATGCAGAATACAGTATTAGATATTTAGGACATAGTCATTGAGAAGAGAACTACTACTCTGTATCAGTCATCTGTTTGTAGGATTCAGTGCCAGCGGCAATGTAAAAAAAAGTGGGAAGTGCATGATGCTGGTCTAGTAAGTATGGCTTTAGAACACGTACCTGGAATATATATTTTTTATCCCCTCAACCTTCCTTATGTGGGTTTTATTTTAGACCTATCTCAATGACCTAAATCCATTTTGTGGCAAGAAAGAGGGATGTGGCTCTGAGATTCGTATGTGTCCATAGCAATTTCAGGTGAATAATGCATTGGGGACGTGGCCATGCTTTTCTGGCAATCAATACTAGATTTTTGTGTCGGCTTAGAGACAGATTTACCAACACATTGTGCTTAACAACGGAGCATTAAGAAGGAAATTTGTTCCACAGGGAGCTAATTCGGATCGCAGTTTCTGTCTTTGGTGGATTTCAACATTCTATTTGGTTTAGATTAGAAACAAAGTCTTGCTATAAATTGCTTATCTCTCATTGTGCAGTGCATACCGTAAGTACTTCTGCTGTTTGGAGCGGGAGGCTCACCCCCCATCGGCAAGCAGAGAGCCTCCCATCCCCTCTCACCCCCAGTCTGCATTCACTTGCTTGCTGTCCCTCCAAGGCTCGCCAGCAAACCATCCCCCTTCTCACCAAGGTCACTTCCTGTTTGCACCCAGCACTTCTTTTCTGTTGGTTTTCTTAGTTACGTGGGGCTCCTTGCAGAAAATGCTTCATTATGCTTCTGTAATTTGGCATGTGCCACACCTCAGATGTGGAAAGCCTTTCTCTTTCTGATCCTCCTTTAAAGATTAGGCTTAAATGGGTTTCCAGAAAACATCCTACTTCCTCAGTACCTTTACTTAGAACAATTCTGCGGGCTCTGCTTATACTCGTTCTTGCTGATAGCTAGGTTGATGATGCTTGCTTATGTGCATTTTTTTTCTGTTGATGGACATAGATGTCTACGTGGAAGACTCAGTGTCAACTTTGGCCTTTGCATCTCCTTGTGCCCTAACTAGTATGGATTTCTGATCACAATGAGCCATCAGAGCCTGCCTGTCCACTAACTAGTACAGAGTTCTGAACACAATGGGTTACCAGGGCCTGCCTGTCCACTAACTAGTACAGAGTTCTGAACACAATGGGTTACCAGGGCCTGCCTGTCCACTAACTAGTACAGAGTTCTGAACACAGTGGGTTACCAGGGCCTGCCTGTCCACTAACTAGTACAGAGTTCTGAACACAATGGGTTACCAGGGCCTGCCTATCCATTAACTAGTACAGAGTTCTGAACACAATGGGTTACCAGGGCC